AAATAACTTTGATTTTGGAAAAATGACTATGGCAGCTCAGGACATGCTTCATTTTGTCACAAAGTCGTGGTATGTACCATTTACATCAAAGGATTAACAGATTCTAAACTGTGTGTCAGATCCTTGCCAACATATGAACACTCCATGTAAACCTGTTACTTTTAAGTCCTGGCTGGTTGGTGGGGGGGAAGGGGCAGGGAGGGGGTTCTCTTGGGGTAGGGCAAGAAACAAAGAATCACTCACAGAAATATGGCCTGAGCTGCAATATCCAACAAAAAAGAACTCTCTTGATTAGGTTTTATTCCTTTAGGGGAAATCCCCAGGGTAAATATTTCCACAAAAGGGGAAAATATGAGTAAATTATAAAAAGCACCAGGAATTAGCTCAATACCCAGAAAGGGGGAAAAAAGCCTCTGAAGTTTGGTTTTCATGTAATTAATACAAAGCATGGGGAAGGGAACGAACCACAGTCATATCTAAGGATGACAAATGTTTCTTGATTTCACTTGGTGAGGCACTTCCTCTTAGGATTATTAGAACCAGGAATTGTGAACTGTAGTGACATGATTTTAAACACTCACAAAAATCAGTTTCTCACTTCATTTTTCCATGGTGTTTTCTCACTTGGCAGTAGATGCCTCCACTTTGAATTAGATCATGGCAAGTGAAATGAGAGGTACTGGGGGGAAATCAGAAAGGCTCTTCTAAAGTCAGGCAGAAACTTTCAGTTTTTAATCATCCAATTCTATGATACTGTTCCACTGTGCTCTCAGGCTCAGCTAGATTTGAAATGGCTCTGTGTGTCTAAATAAATAGTGTTTACTTTGAAACTCAGCAGCCCTCCGTCTCACGGAAAATCTTTATTGGTTGGAAAATATGTATAGTATGTCATACTTTAGGTCTATAGTCTAGCTGTATTCTGTAGTGTAGCTGTGCTGTGGTATAAACCCAATCACCTTAGGTTTTAAAATATATATATATATTTGTAACACTCCACACATTTGGTTTTCCTTACATTAGAAATAAGAGTCAAATGGAATGCTTTGTATTTCAAGTAAAAACTGAGCAGTGGGAGAATTTAGTTAGCCAAAAATCTGATATATGTAGGCCATTGGTGGTGCACACCTGTAATCATAGCTTACTTAAAAAAATCGGAGATCTGAGGATCAAAGTTCAAAGCTGGCCCAGGCAGGAAAGAAAGTCTGGGAGATTGTTATCTCCAATTGACTACCAGAGTGGCACTGTGACTTAAAGTGGTACAGCGCTAACCTTGAGCAAAAAAGCTCAGGGACAGAGCCCAGGCCCTGAGTTCAAGTCCCAGTAGGAGTGCATGCGCACACACACACACACACACAATCTGATGTTTGAGGCTGAAGATATTAATTCAGTAGTAGAGTACTTGCCTTCTATTTGTAGGATCCGGGGTTTGACTTCCAGACGTGCAGACAGCAGCAGTCAATCCTGGTGCTTGTCCTGGCAGGGTTGCCGCGCACCGCTGTGGTGACTGTGCACTGCACAAAGCCAGGGATTCCTAAAGCACAGATGGAATGGACCGGGTCTCTCCTGCACTTCAACAATGTCTAGTCACTAATTTAAATCAGTACAGCTTTTGAAAATGCTCATTCTCTCTCTCTCTCTCTCTCTCTCTCTCTCTCTCTCTCTCTCTCTCTCTCTCTGACTTGTAGCAGCAGTCAGGCTTTTATTATTATTCCAACTTTTAGTGTGTGTACAAGGTTCTTAGGTTTCTTTTCCTTCCGTGTTGGTTTCCAAGGACCTCCTTTTGGCCTGAACTTCGGCGCACTGCCCCGTGTTGTCCTGAGCTACAAGTGGCCCGTGGAGGGGCTCATCAGATAGGCTCAGCCAGCCCTGGATCAGGACGTTTCTCAGTCCACTCCCCCCTTCATTGCCCTAGCCATTGCCCTTCCTGTCCCTCAGCGCGAGTGTTGGTTGGCGTCTGGGCCTGCAGTGTGCTTCCCCTCAGCCCCTCAGCACGTGGCCTGGGAGCTTGGCTCTTCTGCTTTCCTAGCCTCCCTCCTTTACCCTTCTACTCGTGTTTTCCTTCCTCCCCTCTCGTCAGCGGGAAGCATGGGTCTCTGATGAAGGAACCTGAGGCAATACAGTTATCTACAGCCAAGGCCAAGAGTGTCCCTGCAGACCCCGCCCCCTCTTCCTCGCTATTCTTACTGAGGTCGGGACTGTTCCCGCTTAATAAAACAACCTGAAGAGAGTGAGAGCATGAATTTTGCCGGGTAACTTTTGGTGGTGCAGTTGATTTCAAGTTGAAGTCAGAATAGATGGCTTTTTGCAAGGAGGTACAAGTCACAGTGGTGAACTCCTCAGGGGAGTTGGGGAACTCTGACGAGACAGTCTCGCTATCTATCTTTACATTACTATGTGAGTGTATTAGCTATTGAAATAGATCAGGAAAACAAAAGCCAGAAGGGAGATTCCAATTAAGTGGATAACAGAAAACTCTGTTAATTATAGGAAAGGATTTGAATGTAAAAAACAAAACAAAAATGTTGATCTGGTGGCTCACACCTGTAATCCTAGCTACTCAGGAAGCTGAGATCTGAGGATTGCAGTTCAAACCCAGCCTAGGCAGGAAAGGCTGTGAGACTCCTATCTCCAGTAACAACCGGAAAACTGGAAGTGGTGCTGTGGCTCAAGTGGTAGAGTGCTAGCCTTGAGCTGAAGAGCTCAGGGACAGTGCCTAGGCCCAGAGTTCAAGACCCACAACTGACAAAAAACCAAAAACTTTGAAAATTCATTATTTTCCTGTTTATTAGAAAAATCACATGAAAGTTTCCATTAGGGCTCTACCCCTCTTTAAAATTGAACCTTGCTCTAACATCCAGTGACTTGTATATGAAGGCTTTTGGTTTTCCTTTTCTCTGTAGAGCTACATAAAGTGACAGTAGGATTCCTCGGTCAGCTTGTCTCACAACTCTGTCTCCACTGCCAGTGGAGGCACCTTGAATCCCAGGAGGGGCATGCGGGGTTCTCAGTTGATGGCTTCTCTCCCGCTTCCTGCCAGCCAGAGGCAGCAGTGATAAGCAGAGGTTTGACGTTCATCAGTAGACATCTCTCCCAGGCCAACGTCTTTGGTACCCAGGAGTGATTTCTGTACTTGCGGTTACAAGTCGCTTCCTTCAGCACCTGCTAGAGCTCTCTGGAGAGACTTACATACAAGCCAGTAGCCTACATAGCAAGGCCGGCATGCACAGTACAGCATTTACAGTTCTATTATCGAGTCATCTCTGTTTTGAAGAATCAGCAGACTTGCACCAAGCTCAGTACGTCTAATAACACTGTCATGTCATTGCCTGTAGATGACTGCCATTCATGCCCAGCCAACCAAGAAACGAATCTTCATTTTATAACTCCTTAAGTGTGTTGCTTGAGTGGGCTTATGAGCTTTATGTGTCCATTTAGCGACCACAAAATTCAAATTTAATTACTCAGCCCCTTGAAACAAGGGAAGTAAATATAACTCACTTTTTTTTAGAGAGCAATTTTTTGAGATCCTGGGATGTTAATAACTTATCACTTTACAAAGTAACTCAACTAGACTTTAAGGTTTTAATAAAAATGTTCTTGTGGGTTTCTTTTGGTGGTATCAGGAGCTGAGCTCAAGGCCTCGTGCTTACGCTAGACAGGTGCTTTATCCTCTGAGTCAAACCTTCCAGCCTCTTTTTGCCTTGTTTATTTGCATTGTAGGGTCTCACCTTCTGCCCAGGCCACCCTGGTCCCTGCTCCTGCTCTCCTGCCTCATAAGCAATGACAGGCGCTTTCTACCACACCTAGCCACTGGTTGAGATGGAGTCTCTTGAACTTTTACTCCTGGGCTGGTCTTGATCCACGATTTCCCAATCTCTGCTTTTCCCAATCATCTCTGTGTGGATTATAGGTATGAGCCACTGTGTCCAGATAAAATTAGCTCTTTTAAGCTTGCAAATATAAAGTTTCATAATAATTGAAATACAGGAAAACGAAGATTTGAAAGTAATATATGTGTTGGTCACAAACATATGAAGCAATAAAAGCATTTAGTATGGAATGGCATCTTTCATTTCATTTTGTTGTTGGAGATTGAACTCAAGACACACTGAGCTAGGCTCACAGACACTGCAATGTTGTATGTAAAATTTAACTTTAATAATACAAGCTACACGTGAAGACATCTATCTTCATAGATAATTTTTAAAATACCAATGAGATCCAGGTGCCTATGGCTCATGCCTGTAATCCTAGCTACTCAGGAGGCTGAGATCTGAGAATTGTGGTTCAAAGCCAGCCCAGCCAGGAAAGTCTGTGAGACTCTTATCTCCAATTACCAGCAAAAGAAAAATAAAAGCTAGAAGTGGAGCTGGAGCTGTGGCTCAAGTTATAGAGCTGCTAACCTAGCACAAAAGCTCAGAGACAAGTTCCCAGGCCCTGAGTTCAAGCCCCAGGAGTGGTACACACACACACACACACACACACACACACTCGTGTGCATACACGCAATGTACCAGGCAATAGGGCAGCCACTAGCCACATATGCCCACTGAGCATGTAAAATGTACTTGGTTTTAAATGGATGTCCTATAATTATGAAGGTACACTGGATGGTGAAAGTCTTAATAAAAACATGTAAACTTCCTGAATAATTTCTATTTTGCCAATCCAGTTTGAACTCAGGGTTTTACAGAGTTAAAATTAAAAATGAATCTATTTCTTTTAAAAAAAATTTTATTGTAAAGATACCGCACAGAGGAGTTACAGTTACACGAATAAGGTAATGAGTACATTTCCTATTGAGCATTGTTAGCCCCTCCTTTGTTTTTCCTACCATCCCTTCCCTCCCCCAACTCCTCCCTCCCCCTCACCCCCGAAGTTGTAAAGTTCATTTTCTTCCTAGTGTCTTGTACATCTCATTGTCACAATGGGTCAACCTGGATACTTGTTTCCACATTTTGTTGTTTTCCTTCCCCTCCCCAAATTAGAAAAATGTATATAAAAATACGGAATGCTTCACAAACTTGTATGTCACCCTTGCACAGGGCCAGGCTAACTTCTCTGTATCATTCCAATGTTAGTATATGTGCTGCCGAAGAGAGCTTGATTTGTTTCTTTTTACTTAAAAAATATGGCTGAAATCTAAAATTATGTATGTCTTGCATCTCAGTTCTGTTGAATGAATTAGCAATCATGCATATAAACACACATATTTGACTTGTGATAGCTTAAAAGCCTAAGTGAGATAATACTACCTTTTTCTGCAACTTTCTCTTTTCACTTAGCATATGTCTTGGATATTTTTCCTTATAATATATTTAGATAAAGCTCATTTTTTTTTAAACCCAGCCTGGTATTCCTTCAAGCTAAAGTGCCCTGGTTTGTTTCTGATTTCTGCTATGGATAGTTCATATGAATTGTTTTCGCTCTTCCAGAGGAACCTTGCTTTGGGGAATGTCCTTGAACATGACACCACACACGGGAGGACTTTTCTAGAATATATACCTTGTTATAAGATAACAAGCACAAGAAATAAGCTTTCCTGTTTTGTTGTTGGTTGTGGATCTTGAACTCAGGGTCTGAGCTGTCTCTGAGCTTTTTTTTTTTTTTCTTTTTGCTTATGTGGTGCTGAGGAATCGAACCCAGGGCTTCATGCATGCAAGACAAGTGTTCTACCACTGAGCCACCTTCCCAGCCCTCTCTGAGCTTTTTTGCTCAAGGCTAATGCTCTACTGCTTTGAGCCACAAATCTACTTCCAGCTATCTAGTAGTTAAATGGAGACAAGAGTCTCATGGACTTTTCTACCCAGGTTGGCTTCGAACCACGATCCTCAGATCTCAGCCTCCTGAGTGGTTAGGATTACAGATGTGAGCCACCAGCACCTGGCTACTTAACTTTTTTTTTTTTGGTGCCACTCCTGGGGCTTGAGCTCAGGGTCTGGGCACTGTCCCTGAGCTTCTTTTACTCACAGATACCACTACTGCTTGAGCCACAGCACTACTTCTGGCTTTTTCTGTTTATGTGGTACTGAAGAATCGAACCCAGGGCTTCATGCATGCTAGGCAAGCACTCTATCAATGAGCCATATACCCTACTTTCCTTTTATAATGCTAGTACTGTTACGGTTTTCCTTTATGATCTCATTATTTTTTAAGTGATGGACTACTTTTAGCTTTAAATGTTTATTTATTTATTTATAGACAGGAACTTACCCTCTAGGCCAGGCTGGTCACAAATCTTGCCTCAAATTCACAGTCCTTCAGCCTCAGCTTCCCAAATGCTGAAACTTCAGTCTAATCATAGTACCATGCCTTTCTTTTTTTAGGTTTGAGATCAGGATTTGAACTCAATACTTGATGCTTTTGCTCATTGACTGATGCTCTACCAACTGAGCCATGCCTCCAACCCCTACAAAATATAACAATTTAGCTTTATTTTGGCCAGGTTGGCCTCAAACTCATGTTCTTCCTGCCTTAAGCCTCTATAGTGCTTTAATTTTTCCCCCAAATGCTAGAGTTGGAACTTACTGTTTTATACTTGTTAAGCTTGTGGCCCACGACTTGAGCCACATCTCCAGCCCTGCTTTTTTTTTTTTTTTTTTTAATTTAAAGTAGGTTGCTCTATTTTGCACTTTTTGCATTTTTCTGCTTTCCCTCTGTTGATCATCAAAGCTTTATGGTAAGACAATAAAAGTTTTGTCACATTTGTTAGGCATAACTCAAAAACAATGGACAATCTACAGACAAGAACATTTTGTAAAATACACTATCTAGAACACATCAGCATTCATCTATTCTAAAATTAGACTTTATAAGGCATTTAAAATGCAAAAAACAAACAAGTTGATTTAACACTGGCAAGCCTTGCCACCAATGGCAAGCTACAAGCAGCTTTAAATCCAGCCCTGTTTTTTTGCTAATTATTTTGGGGATAGAATCTAGTAACCTTTTCTGCTTAGGCTGGCTTCAAACTGTGATCCTCTAGAGCTCAGCATCTTGAGCAGCTGGGGTTACACATTTACACATGTGAGTCACTGGTACCCGGCTCTTTTTAACCTTTTTTTTTTTCTTCTCCAATCCTGAGCTTGAACTCCGGGCCTGAGTGCTGTCCCTGAGCGCTCTGCTACTTGAGCCACAGCACCACTTCTGGCTTTTTCTGAGTAGTTTATTGGAGATAAGAGTGTCACAGACTTTCTTGCCCAGGCTGGCTTCAGATCACAATCATTAGATCTCACCTTCTTGAGTAACTAGGATTTCAAGAGTGAGCCACTAGCACCTGGCTTTTTTTAAACCATTTTTTAAGTCTATGATTCAGTGGCATAAAGCACCTTCACATTCCCGTTGTTCCATATCAGTTCCAATATTTGTTCTTTTTCTTTGTTCTTAAAAAAAAAAAATAGTGGCCTTATAGCAGGTGCTGGTGGCTCACGCCTATAATCCTAGCTACTCAGGAGGCTGAGATCTGAGGATCGCAGTTCAAAGCCAGCCGCGGCAGGAAAGTCTGTGAGACTCTTATCTCCATTTAATCACTAGAAAGCCAGAAGTGTATTGTAGCTCAAGTATAGCGTGCTAGCCTTGAGCAAAAGAGCTCAGAGACAGTGCCCAGGCTTCTAGCCCCATGACCACCACCACCAACAACAAAAATGGCCTTGTGATGATTAATGGTATAGAGTATGTTTTTACATTTATTGGCTATTTGTATATCTCTGGAGAAATGTCTTTTCAAGTCTTTAGCCATTTTGAATTGGATTTTTTTTTGTTTTTTTGGGGGGGTCCGGTTGTGGGGCCTGAACTCTGGGCCTGGGCGCTGTCCCTCAGCTCTTCAGCTCAAGGCTAGCACTCTACCACTTGAGCTATAGCGCCACTTCTGGCTTTTTTTCTTTTTGCTTACTTGGTGTTGGGGAATCGAACCCAGGGCCTCATACATGCAAGGCAAGCGCTCTACCACTGAGCCACCTTCCCAACCCCTGAATTGGATTGTTCTGTTGTTGAGTTGTACGCGTTCTCTATATATCCTGGCTGTTAGTCATTTGATACATGATTTGCAAGTATTTTCTTTCATCCGGGCTATCTTTTCATAGCGTCCTTTGAGGCACAAGAGTTGTTCATTTTCATCAAGTCCAGTGTACCTGGGTTGATTTTTTTGTTTTGTTTTGTTTTGTTTTGAGCTATATCTAAGAAATCCTCGCCAATTGTAGGTTAAATTTTTTTCTGCATTTTAATTTAAGAACTTTAGAGTTGGGGCTTTGAAGTTTAGTCTTTGACCTGGTTTTGAATTAATCTTTTTAATATATAATTTGAATAAAGGTCTAACTTCATTCTTTTGCACGCATATGATACCTGGTTTCTCAACACCATTTGTTTCCTCATTGTTGAAAATCATTTAACCAGAATGTAAGGGTTTAATTCTAGACTCTCTATTCTTTCTATTATTCTATTCTATTCTTTCTATTCAATGCATCTACTCCCATGCTGTTGTTGTAATGTACCTGACTCTATGGGATGTTCTGATATCCAGACAAACAACCATTTCCTTGTTACTCTTCTTTCTTCAGTATTTTTCCACCAGACTATTAGAATCAGCTTAAGTTTTAACAGGGATATTGTTAGAATTTTGATTAGGATTACATTACTTTTATAAATTAATATTGGGATTAATATTTATTTTTACAACAATAGATCTTTGTGTCTTGAAGAAACATTACATGCAGAATCTATATTCTTGTTACTATCCTGGTCCCTAGAAAAAAATTCTGTACTTGACCCAAACTGCCTCTTTCAAGCAGCTCTGTCCAACACAACGTATTGGATAATGAAAATGTTCTATATCCATAATGTCTTCTAGATAACTACTCACCACATGAGGCTGGTGAATACCCAGAGTATGGCTAATACAGCTGAGAACTTGGCCTCTTTGAGCTTTTAGTAGCTGCTAGCATTCCTTGGCTTGTGGCCTTATCACTCTAGCCTCTGTCTCTATGCTTACTTTGTCTTCTCTTCTGTGTTCAAATGTTGTCATGCTTCCTTCTGTTAAGGATATACATGATTCCATTTAGGGATTACCTGGGTAATTCAAAAACTCTTTATTGGAAAATCCATCATCTCATCCACAAATCCTTTCTCACTCCTTTTTTTTCCCCCCTGTATCAGGCAACATTCTCATGTTCTGAGGCATAGGGCATGGACATCTCTTGAGGACCTAGGTTTCAGCCCACCATGAGGATCACTTTGGATGGAGTGGGGATTCCTGTGGCTGTGGGATAACAAAGCTTAGTCACTGAGTGGCCTGCATGTGTGCAGCCTTGGGCCAGGCGCTCTCTGTGCGATCCCGTTTGCTCACGATAAGACCGCAGGTCAGCCACTAGTGATGCCTGGGGAATGATGATGAGCAGAAAGTAAAGAGTCTTGTGAGGGAAAAAATGGGTGCAAAGGAAGAATAATGAATTTATCTTACCTTGAGGCCCCAGTAAGCCTTACCTAAAGTCAACCCCTGGCTGCTCCTAGTTCTCTATCTGTGTTGCGCTGAAAGAGCACACAGAAGCTGAAAACGTGCCAGACTTTCACTTACTCAGTGTGTGAACCTGCTTCACTTTGGACCTGCTTTTCCAATCCTGTAAAGAAGCAATAAAATCCTGCTCCCCCATCTCACCAGATAATAGGGCGGTGGAGTTCAGTGACACGGTGTCTGTGATACTCATGTCTTGATAGCATATCGAACACCTTCAAATGTTTGTAAAAAGGAAGAGCAAAAATGGTAATATATCTTAAGCATTTTAATTTGAAGATAATATATCTTAAACATGTTATAAATCTCTAGGGGACTGGGAAGTTGGCTCAGTGGTAGAGTGCTTGCATGAGGTCCTAGGTTCTATTCCTGAGCACGACATAAGCAGAAAAAAAGCCAGAAATTGCACTGTGGCTCAAGTGGTAGAACTCTAGCCTTGAGCTGTAGAGCTGAGGGACAGCGCCCAGGCCCAGAGCTCAGGCCCCATGATTGACAAAATAAATAAATAAACAAACAAAATAAGTAAAATAAAATCTGTAGTGTATTTTTAGAAGTATTATTTTTAGAAAGCTAATCTACATAGGAGTTACAATTACAT